CAAAACGATTCATACAGGTGTGGTCATTACTCCTTGGATTTTCTATACAACTACTATAAATAGCAAACATTGATTGTTTACGTTTTAAAACAATGTCTTTCAACTTTACGCTTACTGGGAACGCTTCAAATCTGAGTTATAGTTTTAATCCTCCGATTTACCTTGAAGATGAATTTGATTATGAAATTGGGCTAACCAGTTTTTATAGTTTTAATAGTATTCCAAATATTGATGAAAACAATAACCTTTTCCTCTGGAATATACGAAATGTTACTTATACCTATAAATTACCAAAGGGGTCTTACGAATTAGATGATATTACAAAACTTATAAAAGAAAACATGAAAAAGAGAGATAGTGACGCGACTATAGAAATTACTCCACAGTTATCAACCTCCAAAGTTATAATTAATAGTAATAGAGAAATTTCATTTCTTCCCGCGAATTCTATTGGGAAATTATTTGGATTTAAATCTGGGCTACTAGCAGCAAACCAGATACATATCTCAGACAATCCAGTGGAGATTTGGGGTGCAAACGCATTATGTATTGACTGTAACATAGCATCAGGATCCTATTTAAACGGAAATCCAGTTCACATTATCCATCAGTTCTTTCCAACCGTACCAACTGGGTATAAAATAGTTGAGGTACCCCAAAATATTTTGTATTATCCAGTAAGTATTAAAACAATCTCGAACCTTACAGTAAAAATTAACAACCAAGCAGGTAAACTTGTTGACTTTGGAGGGGAGGAGGTTACTGTAAATCTACATCTTAGAAAACGTATATAATGGTTTTAGTTTTTTCTCGCGAACCAAAAACATATATAAAGAGATTACCTTTTAAAAAAATAACTCCATCTCTACCAAAATCATATAAAAGGAGATTACCTTCTAAACAAATAACTCCATCTAATCGTCGCTTTCTGCAATCGTTAGGATTTAAAGTCTTGGTATAATGGAAATTCTTCACGTTACTGGTCAACCTTTTAATGATAACACTATTGAAGATTATCAGTTCCACACTTATCAACCCTATATTCCTGGAAAATTAGGATACAGTGATGAATGTCGTATTTCAATACAAGATTTGGATGCACTAACATTTCCAGCAAATAGTTATCTCTATATTGAGGGCAAATTAGCTACACATGACAATAAAATACCAACCAAAATAAAATTTATTAATAATAGTATAGCTTACTTGTTTCGTGAACTACGTTTTGAATTAAATGGGGTAATAATTGACTCAGTACGTGATGTAGGGTTAGTATCAAGTATTAAAAACTATCTTAGCCTTAACGAAAATCAAAGCTTGCTATTGGAAAATGCTGGTTGGTTTCCAAAGATGAGTAGAATGGAAAATAATAGTGAAGTCCCTAAAAACAATGTTTTGGTGGATTCAAATGGAAACTTTAATGTGTGTATACCTTTGAGATTATTATCCGGATTCTTTGAAGATTTTAGAAAGATTATTATGAACATGAAACAAGAATTAATACTTATTCGATCAAATGATGATATTGATGCAGTAGTAAGCGAAGATGAGACTGAACGTCCGAAAATTGACATTACTAAATTATATTGGGAGGTACCACATGTAACTCCTAGTATTCGAGAACAGTTGCGACTAAACAAAATTTCACATACAAACCAAGAACTACCTATTAAATTTCGAAGTTGGCAAATGATTGAATATCCAGCCCTAAATAACTCTACACGTCACACATGGTCAGTGCGGACTAGTACCAAAATAGAGACTCCACGACACATTGTTGTTGCTTTTCAAAATAACAGAAAATCAAAATTAACAAAAGATATGAGTAAATTTGATCATTGCACTTTAAAGAATATTAAAGTGTTTTTAAATTCTGAGAGGTATCCCTATAATGATCTTCAACTAGATTTTAAGACTAATAGGTTTGCCAAACTATATGAAATGTTTGCCAATTTTCAGGAGAGTTATTATCACATGACATTAAACCAACCCATATTTAATCCAAATGACTTTAAAACGATTGCTCCACTTATACACATTGACTGCTCTCGTCAAAAAGAAGTAATTCAATCCGGATCTGTTGTGCTTCGTATAGAATTTGAGACAGATGAACCAACAACCTCTGATATCTCAGCCTATTGTCTAATACTTCACGAGAAAGAATTCACATATAACCCTCTAACAAAAATTGTGAAACAATTGTAAAATATTAATATTATACAAAACAGGTGAATGCAAATTAAAGAGCACCTGTATGCAAATTAACGACCACCTGCAAATTAGGGAGTTTATTTTAATTAGGGAGCAGCTATATGCAAAGAGCAGTTGTTGTTTGACAGGTGTTGTAAAATTGTATCTAATGAGAGACTTCCCGTATGAGGACAGATGTATACTGTATAAGGGTCAGTTGTTAATTATGGCATTATATGCTCTCATGCGCATGACTGAAAATTCCTTTAAAAATACAAATTATGCACTACACAAACTCATTCTGAAATCATGTGCTTAGTAGTAGATGTCCAAGGTTTTATTACCGAAAAAAATAAGTTTATCGTGAAAGAGTTTGCAAGTTATGATGGTCAAAAAATTAGTCATTTTTTTTTTAAACCACCATATCCAATACGATTATTGGGTTCTGAATATTATAATCAAGCTGTTTGGTTGATGAATAACCATCATGGATTAAACTGGAATCATGGATTTACACCAGTACACCAATTCCATAATATTATCCAATATTTGACAAGAAATGTTAATGCGGTTTATGTCAAGGGGCGAGAAAAGGCACTGTACATCAAAAAGTATAGTTTATCCCCAGTTTTGGAGTTTGATGAACAACCAGCTCTGCAGAAAATGGAGCCAAGATGTCCATATCATTCAAACAGTGAAAGTGTTTGTGCTTTATCTAACGTATTTTATTTGTATGATACTTTTATAATGCAATAAAGAATTTTTTTTTTAGATTTTGTTTTATTAATAAAAAACCTTATTAAAAAAATAGTACTTTATTCAATAACTATTTCATGCTACAATTTATATTTTGAAGTGCAAGTTTACACAAATGACAACTGGATTGAGCTGGGGCGAATCCTTCTAACTCTGTTCTCCACTCAGGACGATTGAAATGAACAAAACATGGGAGACGAGTTTGAACTTCAAAATCCTGGCAAAATTTTGTGGGTAGTATAGACCATGAACGGAGAAGTTCATACGGGTCTACAAATTTTCTTATGTATGCTAGGCTAAAATATTCCAATTCTGTGGTCGTGAACTTGTACAACGGTTTTTTTGGATGCTCCGCCATTATGCGAGACCGAAGGCAACAATCCATCTTTTGTAAATCGGTTAATGTTTTTAAAGACCAAGTCTATCCACTTTTGCTCTTCGTATCTAGAGAGAAAAAATAGTCTTACGTCTGCTTCTGGTTTTGGTGTGTAAACTTTACCACTACGCAAGCGCATCACTCAAACACAGCTTTGAAAACTGTTTAAACATAAGTTGTTTATCTTCGTATTCACTTTTTAACTGGTTAATACGATTATTTATATAATTGATATATCTCTGACTTTTGTAAAATAGAATATCACGTTTTATCCTTTTAATGCGTATACTAAACTGATTAAGCCGTTCACGAAACCTTCTTGAGTACATACTGTTTAAATTAATGACGGTCCTTCCTTATATCTTGCTTACCCCCATTGACACCGGTTGCAGGTGTGTTGCTCATTACCCCCACTCCGAATCTTATATTAACACTAGAGTGCACCAAGCAAGGTCTGTAAGACTTTATCAGCTGACGGGGACTCATTCCTGTTGAAACTTGTTAAGCTAAACCATAAACCAGTTTGTTAGAGTCCCTCATAAAATCTAATTTGTATACTTTTAATTATGTGTTCAAATATAATAAACGAGAGGAACATACCATATAAATATTGTGATAATCTACTTAGCTATAGCAGTGACGAATGGGAAACATTTTCGAGACTCCCTTTTTATATTGTACGACAAAAGCTTTGTCTTATTTGTCGTAAAATGTCTAAAGCTAGACTTATTCCAAGAAACTTAATATTTAAAGGGTGGAAATTAGTATTTGAATTTTGTGCATTTTGTAGCGAGACTAGACCTATGGGATTATCTCATCGATTTGTAGGTTATCGTGATGGATTATTGGAATCCCCACCACATAAATGGGACTCCCCTCGTCCAGAGTTAGGTTTACTATAAATAGATGGTAAAACCTTAGTAGAGATTAGTATGATGGTATCATTAAACTTTATTGTTTTACAAGCAATTTTGGGAAATTTGCTCTTAATTCAAGAACCAATCAATGTCAGAGAAACTTTTGTGTGTTTTGATAGTAATGGTGCACTAAATGATACGTGGCCGTCAAAATGGAGAAGAATGAAATCATATCCGGAAAACAATTTTTTACCAACTTTACAAGCTGAAATACCTTTAAACAGCACCAAATATAAATTGCGTTTTAGACATTTTAGTGAAAAAATTACTGATTCCGGGTGGTTACAACTTTATAATGAAATACCTAAGAAGGAAACAGTCATACCTCCAATATTTTATTATATAGCTATATGTTCAACTTTCTCAATATTTTTTGTATTATTAGAAATAATTAAGGTTTTAAATAAAAAGATTTGTTCATACACTTGGTTTTATTAACATACATTATTTGCAAAAATTAAATAATTAAAATAATATACATTGTTTACAAAACATATAAATTTTACAAGTATGAATCATACTGGAATGCATCAATTTGAAACAATTCCTCAGTGGGAATATTATCTAAATCAACTAATGTGGGGTGTATCAGCTCATTTGCAACAGATAAAAAATCATCTATGGTACCATTATGTTGATTAATTAAAAAATGCCCCCAAGCAAGAGTAGATACATCTCCAGGAATAATATATCTCTTATCATCCTGAGGTGTTAAAGATATTTTGTTTCGCAATTCGGTGTAAATAGTGTGCATTTCTGACCTAAAGAAATACATTTTTCTAAAGATGGCTTCTTGATTATAAATAACCCTAATATAATCATTTAACTGTAGTTGGTTTTTAACAACGTGTCTAGAAACACCTTTAGCTTTTTTGACAACTGTGTCAGCCTCTATACAATAAGCTTTAGCTCCGGTGCCATAGAAAGCTTTCAAGGTATTGGTGGGAAATTCATTTTTCATGTTTCCAAGTATTGACTCGGTCTTGTATATTCCGTGTATATTATTCTCCATATAGTTGGATGTATCAAAATAATGTATATTTTTGTTCATATCATCATAAAAGTTTGGTGTTTGTACTTCTAGAATAAGTGAGTCAGTATCTGTATAAAGAAGACTAGCATTATTGTGGTACTTTTTTTTAATGTATCCATAAAAAAAACTATATATGAATGTTTTAGATATATCCAGAATAGAAAAACCAACGTACAACGGTTTATCGTAAATGATCTTTGTTTTATTCAAATGAATAGCAACTAAATTTTCACTGAATATTGATAACGACTTGAATTCTGGTTTAGAAATTAAAGATTTTGCTCCCAAAGATCCTCGAATATTCTCATAATGAGAACATAGACGAATATCGTTTCTTCTGTTAATATTCTCAAGTGACTTACCGAATATAGCGTTAACAAGGAGCTTAAAAAGATCACGCTCAAATTCATTTTTGGCGTTGTTTCGGAGAAAAGTATTTAGATCAATATATTTTTTTAACCACACTGATTGGGAAAATTCTAGTATTCTGTACACTTTTTCTAACTTCAATCCGTACTGTATGCATTGTTTTAAATTTCTATAGTGTATTACATATTTTTTTTTATCGTACAAATTAGGAATCAGTTTTTTGTATTTACTTTTAGGTGGTACTATTGACTCGGGGCAAAATGGTAGCTCGTTATGTTCGTCGTGAACATTGGGTGGGTAATGCAAGTCTACTTCTAGTACATACCCTTTTTCGTAATCATTTTCAATATTAAATACATTAAACTGTTTAATTTCTTCATCGCTTAACCATCTAAAATTTCCCCATGGAAGAGGTTGACTCATGGCTGCGCCATAAAGATTGGTGGCGTCTAGATACATAATATAAGTTTCAGGTTTAGTTGAATCGAAATTACTTAAAAATCTGTTGTTTGCAACAGCTACTCTTTTAACACAAGTGGCAACACCACCCCTTATCCCTTTTTCAAAAAAGTGTAACATGTCAATATCCGTTAAAAGTTGAAGCTCAATGTTTGTATATTTCAACATAGCATCCCATGTTAAAGATGGGGCTGTAAAATAATGTACAGGATCCAGTTTGTATTCTTTGAGACAAACCTTTCTAAAATTTTCAAAAACATCCGCTAGGAGGAGCACATCTGATTTTAAATATAGCATTCCATAATCTATAATTGTTTGACATTTGAAATAATCCCAAACTTCTTGTGCTCTATCATAATCTTCTTGTGTAATATGTTCTTCTTTTAAGTTGTCGTAAAATTTTTCTTTAGGTGGTAGATGTTTTTCTTCCAATTTCATAAAACTATCGATATATGAGTATGGGAATATACCTTTACGTCGCATTAATCCAAACGCTTTTTCATCCGGAAAATACTTTCTGACTTCATTACATTGATTTGATTGTAATATTTTACTTAATTTATCGAGAGATTTGGCTAAAAATCTAAATGAATCTACAAACCGCAATTTTAAAAATACATTAATATTGGACTTTTCAACTAAAACAGATTTTGAAAACGAAATATACTTTTCTTTAGTTTGAGCAATTGCTGATATATGCTCCCCATTAGTTGCTAATTCCTTAATAAATAAATGACAATCGTAAAATGATAAATTATGACAAAAAATTGGAATAAAATTAGGTACCTTGAAATTTAAATTACACGAATTGTGGGCTGCACCCCTGTACAATCCAGTAAGATGGTCATGGTCCCTGACTTTGGTATCCAAAAACGATAATGGCTTCTGACAAATAGAACATTCGGTAGCATTCTGAAAATTCTGATTTTCTTGTTGAGTTAATGGAATCATTGCTTTGGCATGTTTTAGATGGTTGTGGTATAGTTCGTAAGCTAAAGCATCCAATTTTTGAACAAAAACTTTTGCAGCGTTCTTACCCTGGTATGTTTCCAACCTTGACAAGGAATCATCATAATTGCACTTGAGATAAAATGCAAATGAGTATGGCTGGTGTTCGGCGACTTTAATAGAGTAAGATTGACCATCTGATGGCTCACAATGGTGTATCGGCTTAAGGATCGACTCAAAGTCAGCGTAAATTACAAATGGGTGTGAGGACGTCTTCTCGATGTTGGTGAATTTTAGAATATTGGATGGTAGGATTTCACCACACTTGTTGACCCTCAGCTCAGTGGATGGGAGTATTGTTGATATATGTGAGCAATCATGCTCTTGATGACTGTTTAGTTTCTTTGGGGTGTTAAAATTTTGAAGGCATCCATCACAAAAATAATGTTTTCCATTATGTCTCGTTTTTTGGGCACTTACTAGTCTTGATAAGTCAGTAATGAGGCAATAGTGGTTCTGAATTTCATCGTTTATTAATAAAAGATTAACATGCGTAGGTTTATGGTGCTGAGTATAGTGAAGTGGTCCTACAATTTCATATTGCATCTTGTTTTCTTTAAAATATGATTGAAGACCATAAACGTTAACTGATATATTGTTTAAAATCTCGAACTTGTTGATATCTTTTAACTTAACCGGGAAACCGATACCCTCAAAGTTTAAAAGTGCGTCATAGGATGGATACGATTCCGGTATTGTCACATCACCTGTAGCAGGAAATATAGCAGCCATCACACAATAAGCAAAACACTTGTTATCTTTGTTTCGTATATTTAAAATTGCACTTTTTCTTCTAATAGGCGTTGGAAGACGAATATATGCTGAGGCAGAAATGGTAGTAAATTTATTGATGTTGACATCTAAAAACAGAATTTCCTGAAGTCCCCAGTTGGAATCTTTCTCTTGAAATTCAGATGCTTGTGTTACTATTATTTCAACGAAGTCCTGATAAATGTCGGAGATTTTAGTAGACATGCTTATAATTTTATTGCAGGTATTCATTGACTTGATATCCGAAATGTCCTTATCGGGTTTGTAAAACATGGCAAACAGTTCAAAGTTAACTTTAAGAGTTATGTGTTGTCTTAGATAATCGCCAAGGATTTGCAATACCTTTGGTTTAACATCTTGCATAAATCCACGATAATTTATTTTGTTATGTTGACTAGTAAAACGAAAAGACACAATTCGTTCCTTAAATGCGTGTGTAAGTTTAGTTATTCCACTCCCGAACACTTCAACACTTATTGGTCTTAACCTTTTTCTAGGGATAGGGCAACTCAGGTCACAACGACTAACTTGATGACGCCGCAGATTGTTCATAAAAGTAAAAGTCTTTCCGCACTTATCACATATATAAGAGCATGGCTGATCGTTGCTACATTTTTCTATATGCCGACGTAGGTTGTATATGCGCGAAAAGGTTTTACCACACTTGCATTGATTCATTTTGAAAGTATGAGATAAAACTGATGTCATTGAATCACAACATCTCTTAAATACCCCATATCCCATCCATAATTATTTAATAACCATAGGTGGGTATTTTAATTAATGACTGATTCGACATTTAATGAGTCCATATATGCACAAAACAACATACGCCCGCAGGTACTTGTATCCGAACCGCTCTCATGTCAACTCATATCCGATATTCTCTCATTTGCTACAAATGGACATGTGCAAAAAACTGGTTTTTGCTACAAATAGACAGGTGCAAAACTGGTTTGCTTGTATCCAGACTGCTCTCATGCCAACCCCATATCCGATATCCTCCCATTAACAACAAATCGGCAGGTGCAACATTTAATAAGCCTAGTTTAATAAATCTTTCATATACTGGTGCTCAAAAACTGGTTATTTTTAATAAGTTCACGTTTTAAAAAAGAAAAATTATTATTTAAACATTAGCTTAGAAACATGTTGTTATTTATAATTAAATATTTTAACAGTTCAGCGAGTACCCTACTACTATATGTAATTATATAAATTAGATTAATGTGCTGCATTACTACAGTTTACATCAAGTACTCAAGTATGAGTTTTAGATGTGTAACACCCAAATTATTTGAAGGGTTAATTTCGCCACCAACTTTACAAGAGCTAAGCGCTAATCAAGTATATTGGTCTGTGATAGACGCAAATTATGAAATAAGTGTTGGAATTAGTGAAAAAACTAATCAGTTTACTTTTATAATACCGGAAGAAATTTCACAAAATCTTAACATCTATTCTTTAAATGAGGTTAAAAAACAAATTGTTAAAAATAATGGAGGATTTTATTAATAACGAATTTGATAATGCCATAGATAAAAAACTGATTTGTGTTAAAGAAATAAACGTGTCAAAGTTCTTGTCAGAATTTAAGAAAGACTTGTGCCTTACTTAATATTTGTATGTATCAGACAATTTTAAACTTTGTTATATGTGTTTTGCAGCAATAACATCTAATTTTTATATTTAAATATTTTTATTCCTAGTTTAGTGTTTTTATTATCCTAGTTTAATAAAAGCATAATCTAAAGCATATTACTGTTTAATATTTATTAAATAAATGTTTTTATTCTAAATTTTAATAATTATTTACCTTTTTAATTAGCAAATTTGTACATGTAAATTCAAACATTAAATAAAAATAGGAAAAACGTTTATGCTACGCCTATGCTTTGTATTTACTAATATTAAAATTCTGTCAAATAAAAAAAATTTAACAGATTTTTAATCTATTTTATTTAATAAAAATTCATAGTTATATTGAGGTATTTTTAAGTTATTCAGCAACAGATGGCGCGACCAGTTCTATTTTATATTTAAAAATTATTAAATTACAGTTAGAAAGACAGTAAGAGTAAGCTAAGCATGTTTTAAAAGACAATATGGAGTTTATAGTAATTGACCTTATTTGATGTTTAAAGTCTGAATTGCAGTGCCAAATTAGGAGTATTGATAATAGTAACAAATATAGACGTATGAGTTATTTCTTTGTTTGGAGTTTACCACTGATCAAAAATAAATGTGATTTTCTAAAGTGTTTGTATATGTGTATATGTATAAAGAAGTTTGATTTGAAACTTTCCATTGCCCACTCACAGATATTATCCTGTAGTTGTTTATGTAAGTAAAAACAAAAAATACTTTTTTCTACTTTTTGCCAATCAGAAAGTCGAATAAAGTGTCCGAATTAATGTTACTGAAATTTTTGTGAGTGAAATTTGTTTAATTTATAATCAATGTTTACTCTATAGTTTTTAATAATTGTCTTTAGTTTTCTGATAATAGATAATATAATAAGGTTCTCTGATATATATATATCAGCTGTTATTTGCTAATTTTTTTCAGCAGCGTTGTCAAGTTTCAAATATATTCTAATTTCTCATCAACATTTTAAATTTAATTTAATACAATTATTTTTGGAATTAACTGATTGTGTTGGTTAGTTAGTTTAGATTACCTATGTTAGGTATTTTCGCAATAACATTCAAATTTTATTTTGTTTTTCGTTTTGGTTTAACATTTCATAAAATATGCTTGGCTTTTCAGCAAAAATTTATTTTAAAAGTGGCAACATTTACATATAAATAAGTTTTTGGTTGCCTATATTTAATTATTAACACTGGAACTTGGAAAATAAATAAAACAACATTACAAATAATAGATATATTTATTTTAATTATTATAAGTTATATTTTACAACCATGACATAGTCAATAGGTCAAAAATAAACATTCAAAGTAAGTTACAAGGTATTTTACATTGATTACAAATATAAAACTATAAATGTTTAAATGTATAAATTTGTTAGGAAATTATAGTTGATCTTCTATTTATTGTTATGTAAATTGTAGGTTCTATTTTATAGTCAGTATTTAGACTAAGTGCTTCCTTCCTGCTAAATATGTGGTTTTATATTTATCAATTTTTTTAATAAGGACATTAATTTCTTCATTTTACTTATTTTATTATTCTCAAAGCAATTATTAGTTAACTTAAAATTGATTAAATTATTAGCAGAAAAAACTTACATTTTTAATTACCACTAATTTCAGAAAGAGCTTCTTTCATCATATTGTCCTGGATTGTCCTCATGGTCTGACATTTCTTCAAATACCATGTTTCGTGTGGCTGTTTTCGACGTATGGAAATTATATATTAAATTTGTTACTTTGTTTAGAGATGAAATTTGATCCTGTATTTTTGTTATATAGTTTTGAATTTTCTCTGTTTTAACCAATATTTCAGTTAAATGCTTTCTTGCTGCTATTCCTTTCATTTTATATTTATCGAGTTTTTTGATGAGGGTATCTTGTTTCTTCAATCTGATGCTTAATTCTTTGCTATTCATCTTTACGTACTTGGTGATGATTGGTTTTATTCGGTTGTTATAATCAGTTTCACTATTCTCCAAATAATTCATAGTGTAATCAAAATCATTTGTATTATTATTAGAAAAACTTACATTATCTTCATTGTCACTAAGTTCAGGTGTCTTTATTCCATTATCTGCTTCTCTCTGGCTCTCTTGGTCGGAAACATATTCATATTTTATGTTAGGTGTTGGTGTTCTGTTCATATTTGAACCAAAATTTCTAAAGCCAATTGGCATCACATTATCATAATTTCCGTAAAATATAATAGAGTTTGAACTTTCAGTACACTTAGGCACAATAATATTATTATGAATTTTGATGTTTTTCTGACCTACTGATGATGTCATGGTTGTAAAATATAACTTATAATAATTAAAAATAAGCAAGACTGATATATTTATAATATATTTTCCCACTATAAACTTTTTGGTAAAATGTGTAATTAAAGGTGAAAGTGTATTTCTAAACCACACCTTTATCTGATTTTTGTTATTGAGTACATGGTTTACAGGATGTAAATCCCTTTTGTGTATTTTTGCAGACATATACAATTACTCCTATCCATATATAGTATTAAAAACATATTTTTATTTTTATTTACATTTGCTGACTACAAATGATTACTTTCATTATTAATATTAAATATGAGACTAGTTAACCTTCACTCATTTTGGCATCTGAAATAATGAAATTTCCAAAATATTAATTATTTTACTTCATGTGTGCTGTATAAGGGCAGAACATACTTTAAATTATAATCCTGTTTGCAATTATTTTATACAAGTATCCATATTAGTAAAGTGAAGAATGCATAAATTTTAAAAATGATTTTCTTTAAATTTCTTACATGGCCTAATATGATAATTTAAATTGGATTATGCACCTTCAATTTTTCCAATTAGAGTTTTAATAATGAAATACAGAAATAGCAGATGGTCAATCAAGGTTTTTTTTGTGTAGATGCTTTTAAATCATTAAAATAAAACAATGTGAAAATAGGTTATTAAAATTGATTATACCTACTTATGTTTGAAAACTTTTATTATATATAAAAATTGTTACAATACTTATTATATATTTTTTAATTTATTCATACCAATGCCTAAGAAAAACATAAACATCAATAATATAAAATTACATTCAAGTTAACAAACGTACAAATTTTTACTTAAAATTTCTTACTAAACAAAAGTTGTATATTTCCAAATATTATTCAAAAAGAACAGAAGAGTTATATTCAATTTACAATTTAAAATTATGTACAACACTGGTTATTTTGTTTAGAGAATTTATTCCTGAATTTAAATTTTCTAGTGCATCTTGAAGGCTTTGTTTTTTTGCACTAATATGCGATAACACTATCTTAGCCTCATCTTCTTTTTTACTATATTTTTGAATTTTTTTTGTAAGCTGCATTCGTTTATTTATTCTTTGGCTTAATATTTGACTGCTTAGCCTAACAAAATTCTCTATTATTGGTTTTAGCCTTTTCTGATATCCCTGGTTTTTGGATTCTGTTATTAAGTCAAATGTTTGGTTTACATCCATGGAACTATCTAAATGGTTGAGTATGTCCTCGTGGCTTCCATCAAGGTTTATTGACTCATCAATCTCCTGGTTGACCATTTCTTCGTTTTCTTGACTGGAGTTTCCATCTTGGTTGTTATCAACTAGACACATTTGTTTTTCTAACTCGTCATCACTTTCAAGTTCGTTTTTGACACTGATAGGTGTTGACTCAAATTGTACACTTTTTGCAAATCTTTT